GCAGCAAACAATACACCTTTTGTGAAGACTCCCGAGAACTCCGACCCTCTGCTAGCTGCTTGGTTGGAGTAGTCATCGTCTCTATCAAACATCCCCTCGTCTTCATCATTGTCCCTGCCTTTCCCCTTTCTTCTTTTCCCTCCTTCTTCGGCGCATAGTCGTCATACTCCTCCTGTATCGCCTTCAGATCCTTCACAGGGTCCGGAGGAACGATCGCTTCCTCCAGCTTCGGCCATGCGCCCTGCGTCTTCGACTTGAGATCGCTCTTCTGCCTCTCGTAGCGCGGCATTTCCGCCTCCCCCCCCTCCCCTTCCTCCTCCTCCCCCTTCCTCCTGTTGAGCTTGGCTGGGGCCGTCTTGCTCATGTCCACAGCATCCTCCTCCTCGATCTGGTCGAGGCTCCTCTGCGTCAGGTTCGTCGTCCTATTCTTCTCCCTCTCCTCCATCCTCTTCCTCCTCTCCGCCCTGACCCGCTCCCGCTGCGTCGCGTCGCTGTCCAGCTCTACCCTCTCCTTCGGCACATCGTACTCATCCTCCCTGTTGGGCAGCATGAAAGAGTCCTCCTCCTCCCCCTCCTCCTCCTTCCCCTTCCTGATCTTCGCTGGGCTGAATGATCCCTCGACAGCACCGGGATCAGGAGCATGGACCGTCTGTTTGATCGTCGCACTCATAATTTGCTCTATGTCAGCTATCTCCGGCAACTCGGTATCGGCGTCGAGCTTCCCGTACAGCCTCTGCAGCGTGCTCTCGATGGTGTGGATACGATGGAGGAGGTGCTGCTTCGTCTTGGCGTTCTTGGGCAGACGGCGGTCGTAGCTCAGCACAGGCTTTTCCTCCTTGATCGGAGCCTCTAGGGTGTTGTACTTCTTGGCTCTAGGCTCCTCGAACTCCGCCGTCTCCTTGTCCGCCACCAGGGCCCCTCCCTGCCTCCTAGCGCTCTCCTCCAGCTCCTCCTTCGATCGCAGGTATGCTGGCTTCGCCTGCATGTCGTCGCTGCCGAACTCAACCTTCCTTCCCTTGCTCGCCTCTGTCTTGCTAGCTCGGATGCGGTAGACTGGGACCCCCTTGCCCACGATGTCATGCAGAGCCTCCGTCAGAGCCTCCGCGCTCTCCTCGCTGCTGCTCTGGATCCCGACATCGAGGACGCTGCTGTCGAACAAGCTTCCTCGCACCATGTCCCCCTGCTTGCTCCACCTCGCCGCAGCTCCGGGAGCCAGCTCAAGGGTGATGACGGTGACGGGGGAGCCAGGACGAGCGTCCTTGACTAGCAGGGAGCCTGGCGGGAGGAGGAGGAGGAGGGAGAGGGAGCGAGCGAGGGAGCCTGCCAACTCTTGCCGCTCCTCGTCCGTGTGTAAGGCGAGGCCATAGCGAAGCTGAATCTGCATCGCGGGTCAAACGGCTGGCTGTCGATCAAAGGGTAGGGGTGAACTTTGTGGTATATAACCGGTACTTCATGATGTGTAAGAACGGGTGGTGTTTCTAAATTTTTGATTGGGGGGTGGGGTGGTCCACCAGAGACTGCCCGAAAAAATGTCGATCAAGGTTCGGCCCTGGTTGACCATCGGGGGAGGGAGAGGAGGAGGAGAGGGAGATGGGGCAAAGGGAGGAGGGAGAGGAGGAGGAGGAGGAGGAGGAGGAACGAGAGACCCAAGGGTTGAGGGATCAGACAAGAAGCAAGTGGTGTACGGGAAAGCAACAGATGCAATATTGAGCAGAGCAAGAGCTCCGTTGAGGGCGAAGAACGAAGACAAGGCAGAGACGGTCAGCATGGGGAGAGGGCATGTTGAGGCCGTTTGTCATGCTCCGGGATCGGGAACCGTGTTGATCGCTGTGGATAGAGAGCTTGTACAAGTCAAGGTAGAGGAAGACGGGAGATTTTCCGTGCTCCACCGAGTGAATGTTGGAGGATGTGTGCAAGTGGCAGAGGATCGTGCCATCGTCCGCGACATCCTGTGGCTTCCATGGTGAGTCAAGAGGAGGCAGGAGGAGAGGAGGAGGATAGGCGGAGAAGGAGAGGAGGAGGTAGAGAGGAGGAGGTAGAGAGAAGTACTACAAGGTTGAAGTTTCACTTCGTCAGGCTCCGAGGAGGTTCGTATGCCGTCTTCATGGTTGACGCGAAGATGAAGTTGTACACGAAGAGGATGGAGCTGGTGGAGGAGTGCAGATTGCACGCCAGGTACCTTCTGTGCGCGGCGGCCCACGTGGGGAGGGAGGAGATCGTGACGGCATCGAGCGAGGGCCTGCTGAAGAGGAGGAGGGTGGTGAGCACGCGGGAGTTTGTAGGGAGCGGGCTGGGAGATCGGCACTCGGAGATGGTGCAGACGATCGAGATGAAGAAGAGCTGGAGCTTTTCAGGATCGCCGGAAAGGCTGCTCAAGAGCAGGTGAGGCGATAGGTTGAGCTGGTCCTGAAGGGCCTCCGGAGGAAGCGCCATGGACCTGTCGGTGATGCTGACGTCACAGTTTCGAAGAGCACTGGGTCACTAGCCTGTGCGTCGACGAGGATCACGATCGGCTATTCGGCTGCTGCTCAAAAGATGTGAGTCGACCCACTTATGGACACTC